TGACCCGCCTTCGGCAGGGGGCTGGGCTGTCTGATCCACAGAGGTCCCTTCCAGCCCCCACCATGCTGTGGTTCTGTGATTCTGTGGACGGAGGAGTGGAACTAGCTTTAAAAAATGAACAAAACCAGACAGTAAAACCTCTAGAAAAATGTTTTTAAGCCATGTTGGGTTTTCCTCCAGCACGTCACAGTTGCGCACCGTGAAGGGAAGTGGTGCAGGGGCAGGCACGAGCGGCGATGGGGAATGGCAGAGTGATGAGCTCCCGGCTCCCTGGCGGTGTCTTGGGAAGCTGCTGAGGAATTGCTTCGGGTCTGTGCGAAGCCTCGCGTCCCCCGTGGCTCTGACTGGATGCCTGGCACGTTTCTCAGGTGTTGGTTGACTTGGCCAAGGGAGGCTGAGCCGGGACAGGAAGAGGGTGGGGCCAGGTGGTTGTCACCTCTCGCTTTTGTGGGGTGGACGTGTTGGACAAGCCCAAGGACATCAGAGATGATCTCTCTCTGCTCATGATGGCGTTGGAAATGTTAGCATCCTCGTGGCGCTGAGGTGAAGCCGGCTGTCCCATGTTGTCCGGGGGCTTGAGGCTAGGAGCCCTCCTCCTTCCCAGAGGGGGGCAATGACCAAGAACCTCTCCATGAGTGACGCCGGGGTATGGGCCGTGCTCTGCCCTCGCCGGGTGGCTGTTCTGGAGAAGGCAGCAATGCAGATGCTTCCTGGGGACCAGGCAAGGGAGTAATCCTTCCACCGAGCTGGGGGCACGCCGGGCTCGCTGCTCGGGGAGCGGCGGGTGTGCATGGAGGAGGAGGAGGAGGAGGAGGAGGAGGGCTGCTGCAGCTGCTGGCCGGAGACTGCCGTCACCTCCCCTGAGCACTTGCACGTCCAGTTTCATAATCGGATTAAGGCAGTGGTATTAGAGAGGAGGGAAGGGTCAGTGGGACAGGTTTACACTGGGGCTTACAGGAGGGGATTGAAGTGTATTTTTTAACCCTGCGTGGCCTGACCTGCGGAGCCGTGCGGGTGCACCTCTGCACGGCAGCAGCCAGCGGGGAGGGGGGAAGGGACCGGGG